CGGGCTGTTGGGAGGGAGCAGGCGCCGCCTCGCCAAAGCTCGGGGGCTCAGGGCGCCCGGGCGCTTCTGCCAGGCAGAGAATGACATTCGTTATCTCCCGGAGCCAGGAGGGACGCTCATTTATCACCGCGGCTGTACAAGGGTCCTCAGGAGGAACGTCCGTCCTGCTTGACAAACAGCCTCTCCAAAGAGCCTTAATTACCGGGCGGGCGCAGGGAAACGCTCGCTGCCCCCCTTTCAGACAGCATCACTCTGGGTGCAAGCCGCGCTTGGCTTCACAGCTAGCGATTGCCGAAATAAAGGGCTGGTTTTTATCCGATATTTTGCAATTTAAAGGAAAGGCAGCCTGGCAAGCCGTCAGGCCCCGCGGGGCTGAGCTGCTGCCTGGCATTCTCCTTGACCCCAGGCGTTTGCAGTCAGGTACCGACGGGGGAGAGCCGCCCCGCTCCGTCTGAAGGCACCGTGTGCCCTTGCCCAGCGCCTGCGTAGAGAAAACCCCCTCCCTGTTCACATCCCTTAAATCTCCTGCTTGGGGGGGTTCGAGCCCTGGCAGCTCACGCTAGAAAATACGCGATTTGCCACGGCGGCGGGCGACTGCGGCCCTGTGGGAGCACGAGTTTGCATTTGAGCTGCTCTCTGCCCTACAATATTGTTATCTCCTGCCGCAAGGCTCTTCAGAACTTAGTTAGAAGCGGCACGGCAGCAAGCAGGGGATGCCTTCGTCATCATCTTCACCAACACCGACGTTCTGGCACTTCAGCGTACGGAAAATGAGACTGGGTTTGAATCAAGCAAACCCATCGAGGGTCCTGCTACGTCTCTGTAAATAAAATATAAACAGGCAACGATGTTAATCTAGGGACAGGATGGGTCCAGAGCCAAGCTCAGGGTCGCTGATGCCACGGCCTCACCCAAATTTCAGCCTCCTCCATGCGACCTGCGTCTTTGCGCGGAGCGACGCGTCCCAGCCAGCCACCACGTGGTTTAAGGGCTCCCGGGAAGGGAGCGCGGGCGGCTTTGGGCTCCGAGAGCAACACTGAGCCCCGTCGCTGGGGCGCACTCAATGCACACCCGCAGACGGTCTCGGCGCGGGCAGAAGGGCGGGTAACCGGCGCTCGTTACGGCGGTAAAAATGAGGGAGAGCAACACGCTGGGGCAGAGGGAAATTACCCAGGAAAACACGCAGAGGTGCGCGTGGAGAAAAGCGCGGCCCGGCGCTGAGCGGCGCGGCGCCCGTGACACGATAAATGCGCGGTTCCGCAAAGCACCGTCCCGGTGCCCCAGAGCGGCGAAGTCAAAAGACAAAGCGAAGGCGAGCGGGCGGCAACTGCTCCCCCTCCCCTCTGATGTGAGGCTGGGGGTATCAGCTGAAGTCAGCAGCTGGCAGATCCCCGGCAAACAAAGGGACGCGGCTCTCCAGACACCACGTAATTAAGATGCGGGCCTCTGCTGCCGCATCCCAGGAGCCGTCGGACAAAATCACACAAAGAAAAGCAAATCTACTGAGGACCATTAAGTACCGGGGCATCACCTGTATCCCGGGAAGCCCCGGACCCTCAGCGCCGGTGCCAGGCGATCGCTCCGGGAGAGCAGCGGTGCGCGCGCCCCTCCTGCCCTTTGCCAACGGTCTCGTCACCAGCGGAGCTGGAAGATCGGGACCTTGGATGCGACACCTCGTCGTTTTAAAGTCCCTTCTCCACCCCTGCCTACCTCCTGCCTGCGGTTAAGTCCTGACTCAGGCCTTTCTGGCGGTGTCTTGTCAAACCATCGCCCTTCTGGGCTCAAACGTGGTTTTAAGCTGTCGCTTTAAGCTCAATACTTGAGCTGTCAGCTCCTGGGCTTTAGGGACCGCACTGCCATCGGTGATAGGGCCAGGGTTTGGTGGTGGGGTGGCAGGGTTAGGGGGACGCTTGGGCTGGGTGATCCTAAGGGGCTTTGCCAACCCAAA